AAAAAAACCCAGTCTTCTACTTGGTATCACAATTTGTTCTTAAAAAGGTCAGAGTAGTCCAGCAGTATTACATTAAAAGATCCAACCTTTAGCAGTATACAAAGGAGAATGGGATAAAGACCCTCAACTCTGTCACATCTGTGCTCTACATAGCAAGAGTCATGCTAAAATGTCAGTGTAATCTCTAATGCTGAGAGATCTGAGCCTGTGCCACTGCCACTTGGTATCACAATTTGTTCTTAAAAAGGTCAGAGTAGTCCAGCAGTATTACATTAAAAGATCCAACCTTTAGCAGTATACAAAGGAGAATGGGATAAAGACCCTCAACTCTGTCACATCTGTGCTCTACATAGCAAGAGTCATGCTAAAATGTCAGTGTAATCTCTAATGCTGAGAGATCTGAGCCTGTGCCACTGCCCTGTGAGTGACCTGGGACTCCACTCTTCCCTTTCGCCTTCCATGCCAGAAAAATGTTAAAGGAGACAATATGAGCAGGGGGTGGAGGAGCAACAAAAAATCCTGATGGCATATAATTAATCACAAGAGCTATTCACGAAGAATCTATTGTCTTAGCTATATTGCTAGTGTCTGGTTTGTATCCTAAAGCAAAAGTATCTGTACACGGGGTTTATATGCATTTCTGGTATTTCTAGTAACATGATAATATTAAATAGGACACAAAAAGGGACCTGAAAAACACTAGTAATTAATACAAAATTCAGAAAATGTAAAATGTAAAATGCTAGTGATTATTCATGCACAAAATGAATTAGAGAGTTGCAACACTGGGAAGCCTGGTTGGGGATGAAAGAGAAGCACAGCAGCTGCATGAAAAGGACTTGGTCCCCAAGGGGTGGCATTTCTGTTCTTTCAGACACACAGAATTTTGTCAGTTTTCTTTCTCATAGATTTTATCTTCTTGAATTCTAACACAGCAAAATAGCAGATTTGGAGGAGGTCTATCTGGCCTGTTGCTGATGTATGATATTTTAGTAATAATGCAAGGTGAAAATTAAGACCCAGCCTCTTCAGAACAGAAATCTATGTTTCACCTAGTGCTCTGTACAGTTGACATAGCAGGCAACATGGAAGACAGAATTTTGTTTCACAAAGAAGGAAGGCTTCTCTATTTAGAGTCAGGCTGACTACAAATGCTTTCAAAATCAGCGTCGCCACAGGCGAGGCGGGGGTAAGACGGCTGAACATACTGGGAATTATGATGACATCTGGATTTTAGAAATCAGTTTCAAGTGTCTGCTCTGAATGAAAGCAGAACAGGGATTTGCATCTGGATGCTATTGGTGAATATCAGCCTTAATGCCTAACCAAGAGAATTAAGCCAGAAGCTGATGTTTGTTTAAATCAGCATTATGGGAGGAGGAGGGTGATAATCCATATAGTAGATCACTGAAATAAAATTATTCGGATTAGCAAAAAAAGCAAGCAAACAATGACACAGAAAATTCCTGCCTCTTTACAGTTTACTCCCCTGACCACAGCTGGGATGGAAAAGGGAGGGGGGAAGATTTAAAAAACCATGTTATTTAAGGGATAAAGTTTATAGTATAACACAACATAGAACTGCACCTGCGCAAGCTAAGCTAAAATCTTAGGCCCTCTTTGCTGCTGAGGGAAACATACTGACCATTGCTCCAGATTTAGGATGTTCAGCAGATGCAGAAGGCCCATGCCATGCCACACTCTATATGACTACAGGAATCTGGCTAGACCACTTGCTTCTTCATCAAGTGTCAGAAACTCTCCTAACAGAGAACTTAACTCTAAGTGTCCAAATAAAGGCGGTGCTGTTAGTTCATATTTTCCTGAAAAATTCCCAACCAGGATCAAGGTAATAATTTCAATCAAAGAAAGCTACTAGAAACCAACTTCTCTATTAGTCAAAATGCTTGTGGACTCAGCTTCTGCTTTGAGCCCTTAGCTGAAGGGCTAATGGGACAAATACCTCCCATCTGCCTTCCAGGTGCTAGGCAAAACATGATTGCCATGGGGGTGGAGGTTAATACTGCTAGGTAGGACAAAGGCATCTGGTAACAGTGATTAATTAAGGAAAATACTGAAGTAAAACCATGCTCTATTACAGTGAAGACATTTCTGCCTTTGCAGTGGATCTCGCATCCTGTGCAAAGCACAAGCACCAGGACCTGAGAAATCCTGAACTGTTAGAGTCATTCTTGCCTCTGTGATCAAGAGCCAGCACTCAAGGTATTTGCACACCAACGTTTTGGGCACTGCTGTAGGACCTAAAGCACAGAAGCAGCTGCAGGACCCATTTGCTAAGCAGTGGGCTTGTCTTTTTCACAGGAGGAAGTGTTAAGAAACAACAGAAAATGAAATAGGATACATTGGTGTCACATGCATCATACACATCTCAAGCATTTCTCAAAATACAGAATACACCTATAAATGTGGGGAAGGCAGAAAGAACGAACAAAAGTAACAAAAAGGCTTGTCAAAGTAACTCATTCTACTGGAGACACAGCCTGGAAAGAGGGAACTGAAGAGAAATATGATAAAAACACAAGAAATAATGAGTGACAGGAAGGACAGGAGGACTCACTCACTGTTTCTCATAATGCAAGAGCCAGAAGACATCAAAGGAAAGACCAGGGAAACACCAAATAGCCAATGAATGGACAAACAAAGAAACCACACACTTTACCACATAAGTGTCTGTTCATCTGGGGAGACACGAGGTGTTACGAATTTCAAAAGTTCATAGAAGTGGAAATAAATTTTAAAATAATGTAAATTCCTGAAGAAAACCCTTCAAAGGTTTTTAAATGAAAGCTCAAATCTCTGCTTTATTAAGTTTTCAGCTCTCAGATTGCCAAATGCTAAAAAAAAAGTACTAGGAGAATATAATTGCATGCCTCCTTATTCTCATGCCCTTTGATAGGCATATACTACCCATGGATGTTCAACTGTATTGAAGCAAACAAATTTTAGTTACGATCATACCCTGGATGCAAATTGCTCACTAAATTTCTGTTTTAAACTGCTGTATGGAAAAAGACACCATAGAGCAGATCATACAGTGATGAGGATTTTCCTTCCTAGAAAAACAGTAGTACTTCTGCAGAGAGTTTATTAAGCTCTATGTAAAAGGTAGGTATGGGGGGTGAAGAATGTAAACATTTCTTAAGATTCAGATTAAAAACAAAAAAGCAGAAAAAAAGTTTTAGTCCCCAAGAACTATGCTTCAGCCATTTGCAGCACAGACAGAGCTTAGGATATGGTTACCTCATACATTACAAAATGACAAAAAAGTGAGTGCGTACCAGTATCTCTAATAAATGAGCCCCTAATTCTGCAGCTCAAACAATATGTTGCAGATTTACCCAAGTCCATTTATTTAATCACCAAAAAATCAACTCCCTCAAACACTCTGTAATCCTGCTACGTAATGAAAACTGAAGTTCTGATTTACAGTGTACAATTTCTGCTCCCATACTAAGGAACTTGAAGACCAGCACTTTAAAAGATACATCAACGTATAAAGCCTGACATTTAAGCTGCATTTCAGTGACAGTTCTTCACCAACCTCAACTCCTATTACTTTCATCATATCTCTCTTTTTTTTCACAACTGCAGAACAAAACTTTGCCGTATATCTTGAAAGAAATGATAAAAAATAGCCTGCAGCTCCCAGGCAGGCTTCTTGTCTTCAGATGATGTTGGTCTCCAGAATCCATGCACAAATAAAATTGTATTAAGAAAGGTCTAACAGCAATTTTTTGTTCCATTTTACTTGTACCTTTCCTTGAGCTTTCAAAGTTATTTGAAAAGGATTTCCAATTGTACTTTTCAAAAGAAAACAACACAAAACAGCTGACTCAAAAATTATATCTTCATTCATCATTATACCTTCTTTTCAGTTAAAAACATGAATGTTATAAAACAGTCTGACTACAAACTACTTGAACCTTTGAAACACTAATGCAGAAGATAAAGAAGAGCTGACAAATGATTTATATGTTTTGTCCTCAAAACAAGACCAGAAAAGCAGCAGATGCCTATACCTCATATCTCCAAACTTCTTGCTGATAGCTGTTCCTACGTTGCTGATAGCTGCTGTTGCTTTTTGGCCTGCATGGCTCAGGGTCTCATGTGTTTTCTTGTACCTGGAAACAAAAATAGAACAGAATAGCAATAAGTATTAAAAAGGAGAGACTAGAATTCCGTGCAATTTTAATTCCCTTTTCCCTTGAAGTCCAAACCACTGAAAGGTTAAGAAACATGGTAACTGTAGCACAAAACAAGTGGAGAAGATGCTCCTTTCTGCACATCATCCTAAGTGCAGTTTAATCCTCACATGAGCAAAACACTCTCCAGAGAAATCCTTCACTGTGTCTTTCCCCCTTGCAGACAACATTCCCTGGAAGGGCCAGCACAGGCGGTTTAAAGGCAGAATGCAGTGATTTGCTGAATACCTGTTTGATGCAATTTCTGTTTACAGAAAATTATATTCACTTCAAATAAGCATTTCTTGCAGCAGACACTGACCTTATAGCAAAATCTGTCTGAACAGGAAAGAATCAGGACAAATACAGCTCTGCTCTTCCAAGCATATACATATTAGGTATATTTTACACTTCAAAATTATTCTGTGATATTTCAAATTAGGAAAAAAACCTAATCAAATCTGTTGCCATATGTTGCAATTTTATTTTTTTTTAAATTTTAAAAATTTCTTTAAAGGAAGAAAGTTTGGGGAAGGACAGAGAAAGAAAGCTGAAAAAATTTAGACAGTGAATGCGTATTCTTAATAGGGGTGAATTCTTTCAGAAGTCATTAATTTCTCTTATAGCATACACAGCCAAACACAGAATCATCCAGAATACATGCTCTGACCCACACAGACCCTTCAGCACAGTTAAGCTGCACTCTCAGAGTAATCACTAAGCTTTTCTGCACAGGTGCTTTTTTGCTGACTAAACTAACTCTGAGCATGTCAGAGGTTTCCTTCTGAGTAAATTATCTGATATTCCCAGTGACACAGACAAGCTCAGAATTAGAAGGAGTGACCTAGTAACAGAAGGAGAGCACACTATAATCAGTTTTGTATCCTGTGGTGTGCATTGGCAGACAAGAACCGAAGAAATGATCACGAAAAATTCAGAAATACAATTCCATTGGTCCCAATTCTCCTTGGAACAAATGCTGTAAGATTGCAAATGTGTACAAAAATACACTGGAGATTGATTAAAAAAATAAATAAGCCCACTGCCTAATTCCTGAAACAGAGTATTTCTTCTCACTTTTATGTACATGAAAGCAATATAACTTTGTGGAGGTAGAAGGAGAAATAAGATTAACATTTGCACCATGGCCCATCATGTTGTAGGTCAGGTCCTTTTAGCCCCAGCAGTACCTACTGATGACAGTCCTCTGCTCAGGACTGTGTTTTACGAACCACAGGTTAGATGCCAAATGCCACATAATGCTCTGTTCTTTCAGACAGTATATTTTGATTTTATTTTCCTAGGCCACAACATATCTTACAGCATACTGACATAACACATTCTAAAATTGCCAAGTAAATGAGCTCCTTCTATGAAGGTGATTGTCTCTGTTTTCACTGACTAGCAAGGCAGTCTACAGGGAGCAACTGAAGACTGGAGTACCAAATCTCTAGGAACCTCCAGTTAGATAATCTAAATCAAACACATGCACAATGTTGAGTAACAACAAGGGCTAAAACACTGAAACACTGACAGAAGGAACAAATTATAACTGGGAGGGAAGAAGCACTGGTTATACCTGTTTTGTTTATTCTGGTAGAATGCAGAGAAAATGGAAAAGATTGTTTTCATCAGATCTCCTTTCTCCTTAGCCAGTCTGTCCCTGGACATAACAAGACTGCAATGCTCTTATTTTACTGAGGCCTCTTTTTCTAGATTAAATACTTTAATAGCTCTATCATCCTCTTGCTGACAGTAGATATACTCTCATATAAGCTAGAATGGGATAAGACCCTAGAATAGACATTAACAATGCTTCAGTCAAACTACGAGCATGTAGCTTTTTGATAAGAGGTGCCTATGAAAAAAGGTTAAATATTCTAATGCCTGTGGCAAACAAGTCTTAGTTTGCTAACAGAGAGGCTTCTCAAACCCTTTGGAACAAGTGGAATTTTCAAAATGAAGGCTTTACTTGCAGGTCTAAAAAGTTCTTTGTAGCAGAACCTAATTATGTACAGGTTGAATGGACATAGTAAAGTACTTCGCAGATATCCTTCTGAATTGGCACATTGGAGTTAATTTTACTCACAGACATATGTAGCTTTGTGATAAAATATCTCCATGTCTTATCTATCTGCCACAAGTTCTTCACATTGTGTAAAACTATTAAGAGAACAGTCCCAAATGCCCCATACAGCAGACAGAATCAGATTTAACTGAGAAACATGAGAGTTCCCTACATATTTCTGAACATTGCATTGGTCAGAACACACCCTCAAGGAACTGGCTGAAATGACACTGATTTTGGTGTTCCAACTAATAATGTGTTTTCTCTGTAAATCCCATAAGCCCAATATCCTCCAGTATTTCCACTAACAAGGAAGACATGGAGACTGCATTTGTGTTCCTAATACTTTTGACATTACATAAGAGTGTAAATCCAGCTAAAACTGTTACACAACTGGTCTTTTTTTCAGCACTAACTTCAGCAAAAATGACCTTTGACATGGCCCCCTCCTCTGCTCAGCAATGCTGAAGATGAGCTTTAAGGAACCAAAAAATAACAAAGGTAAAACATGGGAAATACCTATCAGCAGAGACAAGAAACAGTAATTTGCATCTCAGTAGAGCCATCAGTGATAGCTTAAAAATCAAGCCCCCTTCATCCCTGCCTCTCCACCATTATGCACATCACTATGCCTTCATCATAAATAATCTTTACACAGAGCACATTGCCTCACTCTAGCTAGTTACGCTCATTATAGTTATTTTGATATAGAATGCACAGTATTTTGGCTCAGATATTTTTATGTTTGTAGTTATGTCATATTTGTAGCATCCACTAGATACCTTGCCAAACACTCCAGTAGCAATGATCTCTTCAGCATATTCTCTCTGACCTCTGGGAATCTTCTCAATTGTATGTAGCATTAATAATCTGACCCAGCACTTTTCATCTTCTTGTGTAAAACACAAGTTTGTACTTTTGTGTCAATGCACTGAACAACTTACAGAATCTTCAGAAACCTTTATGAGCACAAATAAATTTGGATATTCCAGGTAAAATCTACAAACTTTTATTCATTGGAAAAAGTGCTGTGTGTATGGCTTAAGTCCTACTTACACCACCAGCTGTTCTCCATGATAAGTCATCTATAACATCTGCTCACTCTCATCCCCTGAGCAGCCACTGCTGGCAGTTGTTAGGTGAGTACTGACCACCCAGCTCACTGGGACAGGTGGCAGCATCTCAGCAGCCAGCCAGTGGCTGAAATTAGATCAGTGACCATAAACCTCAAGGCAGAAATGCCCAGGCAGAAACATACTCATAATTTAGGATGCAGAAATGCCACCTTCCATCCAACCCATGGCACGCAGTTTTACACAAATGTATCATTAGGCTCTATGCCTTTCTTACACTAATACGAAGGCACCATAACCCCCTTGAGTTTATCAGCATTATGCCAGGTATCCAATAGCATTTATAAAAGTAGAAACAGGCTACTTGATTTACTCAATTAGAGTAGGATTGCATTCTCTGATTTTGTGCCATCTGAACATACTCCACAGCACAGAAGTATTGCTGGTGGGGGCTAGCAGGGATCATATTCCATGCCTTTCACTTGGCACTTAACAGTAAATATTTATAAACAAGAAGGATTAAACAAATATGTTGTGTCAATTGCTGTTACAATTGTATACTTGTAAGTAACACTCACCTGTGAACGTCTGAACATTCCCTTTTTATACAGCATTAACCAAAGGATTTAATCCATCAACTTCTAATTATAATTTAAAACAGGGTATTTCTTTAGCAAAAGCAATTGTTTATAAAACTGATTATTAGAGGTTAGCATAAAATATGCTGATATTGCAGTTCAATTCTGATATGTTCAACACATTTAAAAGAAGCTTTAAATCTCATGTCTCCAGTGCTGTAACATACTAATTGGACAAAGTAGATATGCAGTATATTTTGACTGCATTTTTACCTGACAGTTTCATATACCACATTTAGATTATATTGTCCTCTGACAATCAGATTTCACCAGATGACCCTTACAGCCAGTGATAGCAAATATAAGGAGATACTGTTCTGTGAAAACACAACACGTGAAGGCAATAGTGCTTCATAGAGATGGCAGCAGCCATCTAGAGAGATTAGAGAACTAGGCATTTAAT